CCCTGCGCTGGGATGAAGAATGATAGCACAGCACCACACTCGGCAAGTGTGGCCATCACAGCCATGACAAGAAGAGACTTCGGGGTGACTGGGGGCACAGGACTACACAACAGTGGAAAAATACCACAGTATAGATGGATGTGGTGGAGCACGCCTGTAATCCCAGCACTCAGGAGGCTGAGAAGGGAGGATTGCCATGAGTTTGAGGCCAGCCTGGGCTACACAGTGAGACCGTTTCAAAAAAATACAAAACAAAAATGACTCTGGGTGAAGGGCAGATAGCATTCCTTTGACTATCTTTGCAACTTTTTAGAAGTTTGAAATTGTTTCAAAATAAAGTTAAATTTGGCTGTGGAAATTTTAAAAACTCAGTAGATGGGGTGAGAAGTTAGGAGGGAAAAACTAAGAAACATGCTAAGTACAAAAAAATCACCCAGAAGACCTACCCTTTATCTAACAGGTCTGCCTGGCCATGACAGCAAAGCCATGACCAAGAACCAAGCAGCATTGAGGTTTGGAGGCAAGAATCAGCTTTTCTTATACCTGCAAAACTCGACCCACGAGGGCTCAGGGAGGGAGGTGTTTGTGAGGAGCCAAAGGCTTGTCATTTGGGGATTGAATCTTACAATGTGCAGCAAAATGACCAGGCATTTCTAGGAAACAAAAGTATACTGGCTGTGGGGTTGGGGCATTTTCTACTATACCTGTAGACCCAGTTCCCTGGGAGGCTGTGGCAGGAGGACTGCTTGAGCCCAGAAGTTCCAGACCTGGGTGATATAGTGTGAACTCATCTTTTTATTTTATTTTTTTAATGGAATTCTAGAAAGACAAACATGAAGAAGAGTAATAAAAAAAAATCTCAAATTCATAGAAGGCTTGCATTTAGCAATCATGAAAAATTCTCACATTCAAGGGGAGGTGTGATGGTTGCATCTAGATGTCCCTCAAAGCTTCATGCCCTCATAGGTGGGGCTTTTCAGAGCTCTCAGGATCTACAGTGCATGATACTGAGATTAAGGGTGTTTGGTACTAAATTAGTCCACTGATTGGAATTAGCATAGTTCTGGGTGGCATTACCCCAAGGGCAGGTAGCCTGGATGGGATAAAAGGGAAAGGCTGGCTGCTGCTGCTGCTGCTGGTCTCCTGCCTGCCCCACCATTGACTGTTTCTTCACTGTGATGCCCCTTGGTACTGAACCTCTCCAAACTGAGCCGAAATAAACCTCTCCTTTAGAGTGTCAGGTATCTTGTTCAAGCAATGAGAAAAGTCACCAAGCCAGGAAGTTAAAAAGACTCAGTTAATTAGTAACATCGTGGAATTTACTTGGAAAGTTTAAACTTCGGACCATCAAGAAAGTGAATCTTGTGCAGCCAGCCAGCCCATCAGAGTCAAACTCTGCCCATGGCGGGGTGGGGAGAGCACAGGACAGCAGCCTCTTCAGGGTTGGAGCCACTGCAGTCCAAAATTCCCCTCAACACCTGCATGCTCTTGGCACTGCCAGCTCTGTTTTTTGAAGGGTAGGTACTGGGGAGCCAACCCAGGATGCTCACACTGAGCTACACTTCCGGTCTCCTTTTTTGAGACAAGTTCTTGGTAAGTCATTAAATTGGCCAGGCTGGGCTTAAATTTGGGATTCTCCGGACTGTCTCCAAGAGTGCAGGGATCACAGGTGTATAGTTCCTTACCTGCTTGCCAACACTGTCATTTTAGTTGGCTGACTCTGAATTCGCTTCACAAGGTGGTGCCCTCTGAAAGCCCACATTCCTTCCCCTGGCCTGAACCTTGCTGGTTCTAAGTGCTCTGGGCTGAACTTTGATATCGGTGATGCTTCAGTCTCCATGGGGAGCTCAGGATGAGCAGGTGGACACAGGGGGACTGGACTCACCCTGGGCATCATGACCTGAGTGCATAGAGATTGCCAAGGTCACCAGCTGTGATCAGAGCTGCTCAAACTAGAGAAGGGGCAGGAAGCCAATGTGCTCCATGGAGAGCTAGTGCTACCGTCTTACTTCCCACTCACTGCGGGAGAGTGCCTCAGTCCAGCCCCACCCCTGAACAGCCTGGATTCCCTGTGCTCCTCCTCTCACCCCTCCCAATGGCCTCAAACAAGGTTGCTGAAGCACTTCCCTTGAGGTGTCTGATTTTGAAGGGAATCACACAGCAGGATGTGGAGAGGCAGGCCTGTAGTCCCAGCCCTCTGGGGGTGATTTGGGAGCATCCTCAGTTGCGGTCCAGCATTTTTTTTTAATTTTTTTTTTTCCTGTATTTTAGGGAAGGGTCTACAGGATGTTCAGGGTCTCACTACTAGATCAGACTGGTAGTGATCCACCTGTTTACAGCATCCCAAGAGCCTGGATTACAGGCACGCAAAATCATACCCAGTCTCAATTTCTTTCTCAGTGCGTCCCCGGGTTGGGGCTAGCACAGCAGGCCTGGGGATCAAACCCCTTGATTCTGTGCCTGCTTGCAGGCGCTTTAATCCACTGAGCTATTTGGCCGGCCCTTATAGTCCAGCACTGATAGCTTAGAAAATCAGCCAAGACCCTGTCTCTAACATTTTTACAAAGGAGTATGGGGTATGTGTCAGTAAGGAGGCCCTGGGTTCAGTCTCTAGTACCTCACAAACATATGCCATGCTGTTAATGGTCAATGCACTGAAAGGGAATGAAGACCCACTGATTAATATGGGAGATGGAAGCCAGGGCTTCGCACTTGCTAGGTACGAGCTCTGTCATGGAACTGTACAACCAGCTCTCCTGCTGCCTGAAATGACCTGCAAGGATGAACTGCCTATCTCTTAATACTAAAGTTCTATTAATAGAAAAGAAACTCTGGGAATCGTTCCTGTGTGGGAAGGGAAAGGGAAGCGCTCTGTCCAGAGTGCAGAGCAAGAGAAAAAGCTAGTCCCACCCTGTGCTTGCCTCTGAGACACGTCCCACACTAGGCCACACCCATATGGACTCTGACCCCTCACAGCAAGGTCCCAACCCATGGGCTGCAGAGCTCCCACAAGCTGCAGTGGGAGCTGCACAGCTCTGGTGGAGGACACCAAGGGCTGTGGGTTTTTGTATTGCAACCCGTTGCCTCTTAGGGTCCAGCCCATGGCTGGGATACAGCTCCAGGGCCGCACGGAGTAAGGAGGTGGAGGCTCTGGGTTCTCCCTGGCACCACCACCCCGGGCACATCCACCTTCTCAGCTCAGTAACTTAAAAACCTGGGAGTACGGGTATGCAGGGCACTGACTTTTGCTCTCCAAACCCTCAAAACACCTTCAGGTAGCTGAATAAATGATTCCATCAACTTGGTGCAATACAGTCAGTTGTTTACAAAATATGTTTTAAATAGACATAGAATGGCATGTTATGAGCTAAGATTGTCAAAATAAGATAGAAAAAAAAATATCTTCAAATGTAAGGAGTGGTAGTGCCTAGACGTAAAGTTTTGAATGATTTTTTTGCTTTATTCTTTCCTACATTTCCCAAAATTGTCATGAGTATATTTTTAAAATTTAAAAAAATCAATTTTTAGAATATCCTCTTCCCATATTGTCTTAGCATCTCACTCTTGTGGACCAGGCCACTGGAGGTGCCCATGTGTGTGACTCACCTGCTGCACCACCTCACCAGGTGACTTCCAATGCACAACACAGTGACAACAGCAGCACAAAACACATCACTACAGTGTACTAAAATAAGGTTATTTACTTAAAAATGATACATTGGACATAATCTGTATATAGAACAAAGCAGTTAACGGTAAACTGAATAAGGCACCCTTTAAAGCAGATGCTGTAAAAAATACACTTGGTGTGTTGTGTATCAAAGATCAATCTGGATTTTTGGTGTCTTACAATTGCATAATAAAACTGCTTGTTTTTACCCTTCTCAATGCCTATGTACAGTTTCTCTAAGCAGCTATAATGATATTTTCATTTTGTACAACATATACTACATTTTAGTTTTCAGTGGGAAACGATAAAGTCACTAAAAGAGCTTAAATAATTCCATTGAAGCAGAGGACAGAGCACAGCTAAGATGACCAAGATAGGGCTCACCCTTTGCAAATGCTGAATGCACACTTTCCTAACGGGGGAGCCTGACAGGAGGGTCCACCTGCTGCTGCTCTACACTTAATCTTGTTCTTTTTTTCAACTGTCTATGTCAAACAGGCTGGCCCCAAACTCGCTATGTAGTCCAGGCTGGGCTTCAACTTGCGGTGATCTTCCTGCCTCAGCCTCTGAGGGGTGGGATCACAGGTGTACGCCAGTCCTGGTTCTTGTGACAACGTGCATCTTCCTGCAGGTCCTGCCATGACTCTGCTCACAGCATGGGGGCAAGAAGGCAAACTGCTGCCCACTGTGTTGGCATCTGACATCAGACAACAAGAGTCACCACTTTCCAACAGAACAAGGCTGCAACTATCTTTTGATAAATCAATTTTCTGTGACTGAAGTTGTTTTGGATATTTAGAAATGCTCCAAAACAACCTATGTGGAAAGAAATGTGTTTTAAACTTATAAAACTGGTACTGAGCTAAATTCATCACTATCAGATTTACCTCAGGCCAATAGAGGGTTGCAAATGCATCTGGGGCTTTCATTCTAACCAGAAAAATAGAACCTGAAAATAAAGGTACTGCATATTTGTTAGAGTGAATAAATAGGAATCTGGCACATTCTAGGAAAACATTAACTTAGAGATAAAGGCAATTTCCTAAGTTTGGAAGCCCTATCGGACACAGGCTAGGCAGCTCTGAACTAGGACTGCACTACATGCAGCAGCAAAGGACGACCTGGTAGCCCCTCAAGGCTGTGCTCGGCACACAGGTGCAACAGGCCGGGGTACACATGCAGGGACGGAGGGAGAGTCCTGTTGTAGACATCTGAGGGTGAATTCGAATGCACCTTTAATTCAGGAGCTATCTGCCAACATAGAAACTCACCAAGAGAAATTTCCTTTGACCATTAATTTTGCCTATTTATATTCAGGTAGTCTGTGAGGATTTTTTTTTTTTTTTTTATTAACGTTTTAGTTATTTAAAGGAATAATTGACTGAAATCACACTATTAAAATGCTAAAATTTTAAGTGAGATCAAATAATGGCTTCCAAGATTTTACAAATTATTAATACATCTTCTTGCTGGACTTGAGTATTTTACCTAGTGGATGAGCTTCAAATTTAAAAGGGCAGTACGTTTCATGCAACGTTTTTTGATTAAAATCTCAAAGTTATAAATATGGCAGCATTTGCTTTTTAAAGAACATGTTATGCTAGAGAATGTTTTCACTGACCAAATTTCTAAGGTCAATTCTTGATGTCTTTTAGTAGGCCAAGTTAAAAGCCCATGCTAATGATCTCGTGTTCTGTCATCACTTTGGCCTCCACACATCAACTCACCACTTCTAAGGATGAATCTGTATTTCTTTACGCTTTTTTTTTTTTTTTTATTAAAGTGATCAATGACTTTCAAGATAAAGTTCACCAAGAGAAAAATGAATCAGGTTAACTTGAAGTAAATCAGATCTTATAAGTATACTCTCAGCTCACATGGTGATTTTGATTACAGCATCAGTACTTCTCCAGAATGTGGGAAAAAGGGCCACATTCTGGAACAGTGGATACTCTCAGTACCAAAGTTTACCTGATGAACACTTAAATCTTTATGTTAAATGAAACTTAGGGAACACATGATTAAGGTAAGTATCGACTTGGTAAAATCTGGTATGAGGACAACATTTTAAATATTGGTCTTAAATGACAGTCAAGATTTTGGTGATGGATGGATTATATGCTCCAATTACTCCCACTGAATTTGAACCTTTTTGGCCATGTTGTGATACAAGGAGTTATTCCCTGTTATGTTCAAAGGAAATCGTTTCATTTGATGCTTTCATGATTGGTTATTGGGAATAAGAGACAAGCATTTCGAAGGTGTTACAGAAGCAGAACAACTTTCAGTTACTCAGTGTTCCTCAGATAACAACACCTTTACTATCTATAAAATCGGTACTATTTTACTGAGTGAAAGCTATTGAGTACATACAGAAGTATTGAATACTTCCACCTGGCTCTTCTTCATGTTCACTAGTAAGGGACCAGAAACAAAACCTCAAAAAAAAAAAAAAAATCTCAAATGATTTAGGCATCTAACACATATTAAGAAGGCCGGGAGTGGTAGTCTATCCCTGCAATCCTAATACTTGAAGCAGGCTGAGGCAGGATTCTTGGGAGTTTAAGACTAGACTGGGCAACAAAGTGAGCTCAAGGCCAGCCTGAGCTGCAGGCCAGGCCCTGTCTCAAAGACAAAAACAAACAAAAAAAATTATATTAGGAGTACAGACTGATTTCTGTCAGCTCCAGCACATAAATCTCTAATTGTAGAATCCTTCAGCAAAGGATAACTGAGATGATGTTGTCTCAATGAAGTTCACTAAGTCCTCGGTTTGTTACATTTCTTTGGAAGTTGGCATGTGGCTCTGCACACACCTGCCATCAAGGACAGGAGGGCAGTGCCAGGAGGCAGCTGCTGCCACCTGCATGTGTGCAGGTATATCAAATGTGGCCAGAAAGGAGTGGGGGTGTGCAAGGAAAGCACATCACACACACAACATAAATAACTTCCCTTTTAAAAGTTAGTGTGCATAAAGGATGCAGAACATGATTTAGGCACTTACATTGCTATCAATGCAGCAATCACTTCAATAAGAAGTGGCTGCTTTATCAACATGGTTTGTGGCATTGGAAGCTACTTTGGATAGGCTGCTTTTCATGACAAAAATAATAATTATAAAGAACTTAAAAAGGATGGCAGCAGAAAGGAAAACAGTCCAAATGTGCAGACACTTCAAACTTCTTTTGGCCTTTACAGTAACTATTCTGTTAAAAGATAAAGTTGCAAGGGAAGCTACCTCACTTGCAAGACAAATGGCTGTTATGAACTGGTGACTCTTGGCCACATATTGCATTTTTAAAGCACAAAACCACCAGCCACCAGCATGTTCCTGCGCACACACAGATCACTTTCTTCCAATTCCAAGACAGGCAGCAGAGGAATCCAGGCGTGTGCACACACTGTTATCAGGAGGACTGGAGGCACTACCATCAGCTAAGTAGTTGCCCAAGGAGCACGTAAAGGGCCGACTTACAAAGGCAGAATACAAAGAGATTACATGTCTCAGGTAGAAGGCAAAAGTGTGTACGTCTCCATCTCTGCTGAACTCTTAAGTTTCTTAAGGCTTTCACAGAAAGCACCACTTTAGGAACAGGTAATTCAGCATCCAGAGTTTGACTGGAGATTTAAGAATCAGGAATTGGAGTCTTGATGCAGCTCATAAAAACTCAATTACAAAAGGCATCAAAAACTACACTTGGAACAAAGCTGTCCATACGAGAAAGCTGAAGGCTCTGGAGTCCCAGCCTGTCCCGCAGAGCACTGGCAGAGGAACATTAGCAGCCTGTGAAGGTGAGGGAGGAGGTCCACGCTTGCCTGCTGCTCCATGGGGACAGTCTGGGGCCCCCACGCCTGGCAGGTGTCAGATCTTCACATCCTGGGACTCTACCATCTTAGCAAGTGTCTTCTTGATTCTCAGCGCGGTCAGTCTGGAGGCTGGGTTGTGGGCCCAGCACTCAGACATAAGCTTCAGCACGGCTCGCAGACACTGGAGGAGAGAGCATGCTAAGCCAGAGACCATTTGGTGGTGGCTGCCCCACCCCAGGGCTGAGACCCCCTACCTCATCACTGTTCCAGCGGTTGGACACGAGTGGACGCAGACGTTTGACACACACAACCTCCCGCATGTCCTCATACGATGGGTCACTGGGGACCATGTTGTAGTACGGCAGCTGGTACTCCTCCACGATGCCTACAGTGGAGAAAACACAGTGGGCAGCACATGAGTGTTGGGCAGAGCTCACTGAGCCCAGGACGAAAACTGACTGTCCACATGATAAACAAGCAAGTATGACAGGGATGAAATCTCAAAAGGATGTTTTTCTCTCCCTCTACTGGAGACCTATCACAATGTGACAGAATCCATCAGCAAATGAACTCTGAATATGAATATTCCTTTAAAAAAGATGGCAACAAGAAACACACTTACTTTTGAATTCCAACCGTAATATGATTATATATTTAGATAATTGCTCCTACTTTTACAGAATGGGGGTATAAAATAGAGTCTCACTGTGCACTTCAACCTGGCCCAAACTCATAGTGACCCTTGAGCCTCAGCTTCCCAAGTGCTGGGATTACAGGCATGTGCCACCACACTGGCCGTAGTCTATTCCTACTGATACATGTAGTTTCTTCACTTGTCTTTTGTTAGGCAGGAGACAGAGGGGCTGGCAGTGATGTGCAGCCCTGCTCTCCTCAGGAAGATCATATGGAACATATCCCAGGAACCACACCTCCCCTGTGAGGTAGGGGCACACAGTTCCCAATCTGCAAACAACATGGAGCATGTGAATGCTGTATTCTTTGTGGAACTAGACCAAGGGCCCACAGTGACGGCCTCTAACACAGCTAGGGTGCTGGCTCTGCTGGGGGCTCTATGGGATGAGGCACTCATCCTGTGAAGGTTGCTCTGGGTGGGCCACCTGAGTTCTCTAACCCTGCCCACACATCTCCCTGTACGGTCCTGACCCAGCTTTGTGGCTCTGGGACTGGTGCCCGAGTGCCTAGAAGCACATGGTGTCCCCACCTCCTGTGACGCAGCGGCGGGCCATCTCCCAGATGATCAGGCCAAAGCTGTAGATGTCGGCCATGATGTAGGGCTGGAAGTGGTTCTTGTTCAGGCTTTCATCCAGCACCTCTGGAGCCATGTAGCGCTTGGTACCCACTCTGGTATTCAAGGGCACATCAACTTCATTTGTGTCACTGGAACAGGAAGGACCATGGTCCAAGGTGAGGACAAAGAACAATGTATCTGCTATTTCTGTCCCATCTTATAAAAGTTTTGTGTACGTATGTGCGTATCAGAAATCCTTGGGGCCAGATACATTAGGAAACAGAGCACCTCTGGTTCTGAGGCAAACAGCACGGACACTGTGCAGAGCACAGCCAGTGGGCACAGAGCAGGGCTCTGACCTCTGCTTGGGATGCGGGGAGCAATGGGCCCAGCCAGATGGAGATAATGGGGTCCTGGAGGCAGGGCAGGCCAGGCCAGGGCCTGTTCCCAGGTAAGACCAGGGTCTTTCCAAGCAAGAGTGATGCTGAATAAAAGAGAAAGTGGAGCTAATCCTATCCAAGAAGTGAGTGTGAAAACAAGCAGGAAGAGGAAACACTTACTTTTCTTGCCCTCATGATATATGTAGTCTTTAAGACACAGGACTATACTTTATTCTTCCGAGCAACTCAGTTCTGCTATGGGCAGTGTTTTCCTAATATGCTGACAATCAGAGCCACCTGTTTACTAGTTTGGGAATTTCAGGATGGGGTTTTAGAGTGAAGAGTGGAGGGGCTGGTGAGATGGCTCAGTGGTCTAAAGCACCTTCTTAGAACAAGCTAAGCTAAGCAAAGCACAGGGACCACTGTTCAATCCCCCAGCACCACATGCCAGCCAGCCCCGCCCCCTGGTGGGCTGAGCTGGCCACACACACACACACACACACACACACACACACACACACACACACACACACAAAATAAATAAATGTTAAAAAAAAAAAAAAAAAAGAGTGGAATGCTGGATTGCATGTGCCCCCGGGAGAGCCTATGAGCACAGATGTCCTGTTCCATTATGGGTGCCTGGCAAGCGCAGATGGCCACAACCCTACACTGTTGACAGGAGGGACACCGACGCAGTCAGAGCTGTTTGCAGTCTGGCATTTTAGCTGAGGGCCTGATGTGGATTCTGCAGTGTGAAACGGACCCTGCAACATTACACTCAAGAGTTTCAAGTTTAAAATGGCTTCAGTGAGTCCCTAAATTTTTCTGAATCACCTAGGTTTTTAAAAATTGACATCAAATGACAGTAGAGAAATGGCACTGCTCTGTCCTTATCATAGGGGGCACAACCCTCCCAATGCACCTTTCTGACTGGGTTATCTGCAGTGAACCACAACATCATACATATGCAGTCTCAGCAGCCCCTTCTCTAGGGATCTCTTGTGGAGATATATGCATAAATACTACAGTATTCATTAACATTATTTTTTTTAGTAATAGATACACTGGAGACAACCATAACCTCCACTAGATGAGTCCTCTGTAACAACTTATAGTATGGCTGTCTAACTGAAGATTTTTTCATCTGTTAAAAAGAATAAAGTAAGTGAGGCATGATAGTGCAAACCTGTAATCCCAGCTGCATGGTGGCTGAGTCAGGAGGACTCCAAATTTGAAGCCAGCCTGAGTAACTTAATGAGACCATTTCAAAACAGGACTTTAGGGGCCAGGGAGATGGCTCAGTGGAATAAGCGCTTCCCTGGCAAGTGCAAGGGCCTGAGTTTAATCCCCGGTTCCACAAAAAAAAAAAAAAAAAAAAAAAACCAAAAGGGACTTTATAACACTGAGTTATAACCCCAGCCCCCAAACAGGATTTTAAAATGGGCTGAGGTATAGCTCAGGGACAGACTGCTTGCCTATTTTGTACTAGGGCCTGGATTCATTCCCCAATACTGCCAAAAGAAAACAAACGCTAACAAGAGGTAGATCTATACAAACCAAAATAGAAGGATCATCTATGCCAATAAAAAGCAGGAAATAAAGAATTATGTATAGTGGAATGTGACTGTATAAAAAAACTTCCAAAATGCAAACATATATTTCTATGCCTACGCAATGAACATTCCATATTTTGAGCATTCCCACATCCTGAATACAAGTGGACTGTGAGCATACACACATGTGTCACCGAAGGTCAAAGCCACCATGTACTGCTAGTGGGCTTCACTCTCAGTCCTCTTTTATTTTTCATTTTGAAATGGGGTCTTGCTAAGTCATCTAGGCTGGCTTCACATTTTTGATTCTCCTGCCTCAGCTTCCCAAGTACATGAGATTACAGGTGTATCCTCCTAACAGGCAGGCAAACATCTTTGAGAGAGTAAAATAACTTTCAAACAGTGGTGCACAAAAACTGCCCACCTGTTGAATTTAACTGCAAGGCCCAGATCAGCAATACAGCAACTTCCATTTTTTTTGATGAGGATGTTCTTGCTCTTGAGGTCTCGATGCGCGATTGCAGGCTTCCCTTGGGTGCCGTAAATCTCTGTGTGGAGGTGGCACAGACCACAGGCGGCAGAGTACGCCAGCTTGAGCAGGGCTCTGGTATCCAGTGTAGCGCACTTCAGGAAGTCATACAGAGACCCATTTTCGTGGTAATCAGTGATCAGGTAGAGCTGCGTCCAGGAACCTGTGCCTTTAATGTCTGCAGCTATGAACCCTGCGGTAATGAGTGGGAAAGATTAGCACTTACCAGAGGGGCAGAGGAGTCATGAGTGCGCAGGGCACTATGGCAACTGAACCACTATGTGCAGACAGAAATGATTTAATTTTGCCCAGCAGGATCTCCTGAGGGTGCTCCTGGAGTGCTGTATGGGTTCAACAGTGTTACCCCAAAAACTTAGCCAATGGGATCCTGTGACTGTGACCCTGTTTGAAAACAAGTCTTTGCAGAAGGGACCAGGCTAAGGCAAGCAGGTTCAGAGTAGCCCTAATTCTAACTAGTGTCCTTTACAATGGCAGCATGGACACAGGCACACAGGAAAGAGGTCAAGTGACAGCAGAAGACTGGAGCATTGTCCCTAAGCCAAAGATTACTCACAGCCTGATCTTGACTTCGTGCATGTGAGACTCACAGAATAACTCTGTGCTGCTGTGAGCCACCCTGCTCACGGACATATGTCACAGCAATAGGAAAAAAAGGGGAGTGCCTGTCAGACACACAGCAATGTGCTATGCACTCTCTGGAGAAAGGGGTAGGGAAGTGAAGTGGTAGCTGAAAAGAAAACTCAGGCGACAACATCCACTCGTGTGCCCTAGCTGATGGCAACAAACCTAAATCACCACTGCTGTGGAATGAGGTGAGAAACATACACACTGAACCCAGAACACACAGGGGACCTGCACATTTGGGTGTCAAGCTTACAAAAAGCAAACTGCTTAAACACACAATTATACCAATGTGTACTTAGAGGCATCCTAGAAAACTACTTGGGGCCTCTGTATAGACGGGGTTTTCATGACTGTAGGAGTAAGTCCGCACATGAGCATCACTATCCGCTCTCTCCAGTTGGGTACCAAGCACATGTGCATAGTAAGTACCAGGGCCCCACACCGACCCTGCCTGAACACAGAGGCCAAACATGAGGACACCTACCAAGTATATTCTCATGGCGCATCAGCACTGTCTGGTAGATCTCTGTTTCTCGGAACCAGCTTGCTTCTTCAGTGGTAAAAAATACTTTGACTGCCACCTTTTCTCCACGCCATTTACCCATCCACACTTCTCCATATCGGCCTTTTCCAACCTGCCGAACCATCTGAATCTGTTTGGCAATAGTTCGCTGAACCTTTACAGGACAAAATACAAGGTTTGAGGTCTTGATAAAAAGACAAAGGGTATGAAAGTCCATGCCATCAAGAGACTAGTATGTCCAACCAACAGACTACAGTGCTACAATGCATAACATACTTATGTGAAGAAACAACGTATGAACAATGTATCCTAAAATCACCCAAGACAGGTAATCCAAGCAAAAACAGTCATCTGAGGCAGACCTGGCCTACCTACAGCAAGCGTGCTGCAAAGCAAAGACCTGCAAGTGTCTGTATGTGAAGCCTGCTCTTTCTCACTGTTCTGGGAAGCCTCAAACTATCAATCTGTGCATCAACCCACACCACCCAGCTTAGGCTGCAGGAAACTTGAAGCATGGTGAGAAACACAAAGTGTTTGTGGCTTTCGGTGTAGCAAACCTGAAATGATAGTTATACTCCTAACCATTCTCTAAGACCCAGAAGCTCTAGCCCAGCCCTGTCCATTCTGATCACCAACCTGTACTTCTTCCTCCCATACTCATTTTTTACAGTGATCATTTCAGTCTTATTTCTACATGTCTGAAGCTTGGTCATTACTCAGAGAACAAAGGTATCTATTTGCAACAAAACCTCCAGAACAGTAAGTGCTTTTCCTTTTCATTTCAGTGCTCAGAACATAGCATTCAGGTGGACAGGAATGTATCTGCAGGGCAAGGGCCATCCATGCAGGGCATGGTGCTGAGCAGCTCCTGGCTCCATCCCCAACACCACACAGACTCACTGCATGCACCACCATTATCCTTTCATAATTTTTTAAAAGGACTATTATGGTATGATTTATGTACAACAAAATTTTCCCCTGGCACTAAGGTTTTTTTTGTGGAACCAGGGATTGAACTCAGGTCCTTGTACTTGCCAAGGAAGCACTTATTCCACTGAGCCATCTCCCCGGCCCTCCCCTGGCACTAAGTTTTGACAAATACAGACAACCAACCCCTAGGACTACATTTAAGATAGAGACCATTTTCATCTCCTAAGAAAGTTCCCATACTCCCCAGCCCTGGTCCCCCTGGCCCAGTTTCTGCTGCTATCTATAGAACTGCCCTTTCTGAAGTGTCACCCAGAGAGATGTACATGACATGTAGCCTCTGTCTGGCTTCCTTCATGGAGCACAAAAGGCTTTGAGTGACCATGCTGCTGATGCAGGTATTAGAGGTTCGTTCCTGTTTGTTATGAGTCTTTTGTTCTGTACGAATATGTCCTGATTTTTTTTATCCATCTACCAGCTGGTGGACTTTGGGGCTGTTTCTTTGATGTTTTTGAGATAGGGTCTCGCTACATAGTGGGTACTGGCCTTAAACTCACTTACGTATCCCAGGCTGGTTTCAAACTCACAGCAATCCTGCGTTAGCTTCTCGAGTGCTGGGATTACAGGCATGTACCACCTTACCTGGCCTGACCTAGCCTCCTTTTTCTCTATATATCACATCTCTTTCTTGCTTTGGGCTCTATCTTACTTATTCTATTTTTCTTGGTTTGCAGTTTATTTATTTTTTGAAATAGGATCTTGCTAAATTGCTAAGTAGCCTAGTCTGGGTTGCTGTTCTGCCTCAGCCGTGTGATTGCTGGGATAGTAGTTATGCACTATTATACCAAGCTGTATACTTCTAACTTTTAAGTCATTTAATAATAATTCCTCCAATCTTCAGTGATGGTCCCACCCGCCTTCACAGGAGGACGCTTCCTACCTCTGAGCCTGCCTCCATCCCAGGAAACACTGACTCACCAGTAAGGGCAGTCCAGACCCACTGCCAGAGCTCTGTGACTGGTCAATGAGGTCTTTCAAAGATTCTCCCACTGGAATAAATGCTTCATCCTGTTCCAAATCACGATTGTAGCGACGTCTGTTTGAGATGCTCTTGCAATAGTGTCTTTTAAAAGGCAGAAAACAATCTATAGTAAAGTTCTAAGACCATACAATTCTGAGCTGATTTCCTGAAGTTTCCCACACCATCACCTTCCCTTGGGTATCACCATACACCAATCAGTCTTGCTATGGAAAACACCCCATGTTATACATCAGGAATGGCACTCACGCACTAGGCTGAAGCAAGAAGGTTCATGGTATGCTAGCAGTTAAAAATCAGATCAAGTAGTATGTAAAGTACCATCCAGACTGTTACAAAAGTTTTGCTTTTTTTTTTTTTGTTAACTTTAACTTATTTGATACAGGGTCTCATTTCATAGCTCAGAGGCCAGCATGGCATGTGGTACCAGGGATCGAACTCAAGTCCTTGTGCTTGCCAGGCAGGCACTCAACCTGCTGAGTTACTTCCCCAGCCCTACTTCTTCTTACACATATAAAATATCAGAAAGAGTATACAGCATAGGATTACTGACTTTCTACTGTAGAGGTTTTCATCTGTGTTTACAACTATATTGTGCTAAAATGAGTAATGAATATACTTGCATTTCAGAAAAAAAGAACGCTTATAAAACTCAGCCCTTTGCAGTACAAGTTGCCTGTATTTTTAACTTGCAATCTGCCATCTGGCTGTTTTGCTACACAGGAGAGGTTTGTTTTGTTGGTACTGGGGACTGAACTCAGGGTCCTTGCACTGAGCTGCTTCCCTAAATCCTTTAAATTTTTTTTATTTGGTGACAGGCTGGCTTGAATTTGCCATCCTCCTGCTTCAGCTTCCCAGAGTGCTGGGAGTACAAGTGTGCATCACCATACCTGGAGCATAGTAGAGTTGTATTCTTACGTAGCTAATATTTTTTTTTAGCTAATACTATTCTCCCCCGCTCTCCATTATGTATTTGCTTCAAAGTTTTGTGTCAGCCTCAGGAAAGTCTTCCAAACTCAGAGGTTTATTTACCTATATACATGCATAATTCTGATCTTGCTCAAATTTATTTCAGTGCAGGAATTGTTCCAAATTCATTGCCCCCATCTATTAGTGTTACTTAGTCTCAAATCCATTTACTGAATAATACATCTTTCTCTTTAATGATATGGAAAAACCATACTTTGTATTTTATTTGATTTTTTAAGACAGGTTTCACTGTGTAGCTCAGGATGGCCCTAAATTCACTTTGTAGCCCAGGCTGGCCTTGAATTCTCAGTGACCTTCCTGCCTCAGCCTCCCAAGTACAGGGATTACAGGTGTGCACTACTATACCTGGCTCTCCTCAGTGATCTGAAATGTTACCTTTATAATATACAAAACTTGTTAACCTTTATACTATCCTATTATGACAATGTTTTATTACTGAAATTTTTTGGTAGGGGTGTCTCCCCTTATTACTCTTTGACAACTGCCTTCTAAAGTAAGTATAAACATTTCTGAAGCTGCCACAATATAAGGCAGCTGGTTTCTAGGGATCAGGTATAAAAATTCAGATATAGGCTGGCCAGATAGCTCAGTGGACTACAGCACCTGCTTAGGCAGAGTGCAGTGGCTAAGGTTTGATTCCCTGGAGTGCTACGCGGGCCCTGCCCCCAGGGCGTGCTGAGATCGCAATTGAGACTGGGCGTGGTGGCACGTGCCTGTAATACCAGTGCTTGGGAGGCTAAAAAAACGGGAGACTCACTAAGAGTATAATCTATATACTGAGGTCCTATAGACGCTGTACAAAAAAAAAAAATCAAGGCATAACAAAGCTCACTATTTCATAAACAAGAAAACTGTGAATATATAGGAACAAAGAAGTATACAATTGTGTCCAATTAATAGGTAGTAAGATTTTTTTCCTTTTAAGAAAACCAGTCTAGGGCTGGGGAGACAGCTCAGTGGTCTAAGTGCCTGCCTGGCAAGTGCAAGGACCTGGGGTTTGATCCCCAGGTACCAAATGCCATGCTGGCCCCTGAATCCCAGGTGTGCTGTCTGCCCACCGAAACTAGGCATAGTGACACACGACTATAATACCGGTGCTGTGGAGGCTGAGACAGGAAGAGCCTGAGGTATATAGTGAGACCCTGTACCAAAGAAAGAGTGAGGGAGGGAGGGAGGGAGGGAGGGAGGGAAGAAGAGAGAGAGGGAGGGAAGGTAGGAGAGAGAGAGGGAGGGAGGGAAGGAGAGAGAGAGGGAAGGAGGGAAGGAAGGAAGGAGGGAAGGAAGGAGGGAGGGAAGGAAGGAGGGAGGGAGGATGGACAGACAGATGAGTCTGGTTAACTTGGGATATTACTAGAGAATACAAACATAACAGTTTCTGAATCACCTACAGCAACCAGTGATTTTTAGCAATAGCTTTAAAAATAACTGTCAATATCTAATAATTAAAGTATTTTATATCAAATCAAGCATCTTCTTACTTGTAACAAAAGCAGCTGGAGAAGATGATCATAGCAATTATGCAGATGGCCATGGAAATGAGCACGACCAGCCACCGAATGCTGCCATCAAAAAATGGACCTGCCAATGGAGGTAGATAATGAAATAAACAGCATCTCTCCACCAAATTCATTAAAAGAAAAAGCAACACCACATGCTAAATTCCAGACAGCTTAAAGGTTACTACTAAAACCACAGAAAATATGTATCAGAGAATCACGGCTAACCTACCCATAACGACAGGGGGCAGTGTAGGCTGCAAATACTGGTTACACAAATTGGTCCGACAACATTCTATTGTCCGGCGAGGCTGGGCTTTTGGAGAATCCTAGGAAATCAATGATAAAATTAGAAAGTTTGATATATTAACTGATAATGAGCTTTTTAAATACTGATAAAATACAATTTTTAATTCAGTGAGTGAAAAGCATCTGGAAATTCAAAATTATTAAAAAATTAAAAGTTTATGTTGAAATTCTGTTGCAAAGGCTGTTAAAATGGGTTTCCTTTAAAAGATTATAGGCTAGATTGGGAAACAGTTCCTATAAAGGGATAAATAGTAAACATGGTAGGCTTTTGGGTCATGTGGTCCATTTTGTAACTATTTAACTCTGATCATGGCTTCAATGTAATAATAGAGAAGACATGTACGAATGAATATGGCTGTGTTGCAATAAAAATTTATTTACAAAAAAAAATTAAAAATAAATAAAAGATTATAGGCTAGAGAAGGGGATACAGCTTAGTAGCACAAGCACCTGCCTGGCAAGCACAAGATTAAGTTTGATTTCCGGTGCTAAATAAATTATTTAAAAATTATACTGTAAATGCAAATAGCCTATTAAAACACTACTCATTTAATTACACAAATTTTTTTATTGTTTTCTTTTATTAATATGCATATATTAATATATTAGCATATAAGCTGTTTTTAGTAAAGAAAAGTGACTTAAGTCATGGTGGCTATTCCTAGAAAAAGATATGTAATAAATTTTATAATGATAAATTAGTATGAAAAATGTAACTACACATTAGTATTTTGGTGTTGTTTTTTGGTTTTTTTTTTTTTTTGCGGAACCAGGGATTGAACTCAGGCCCTTGGGCTTGTCACACAAGCACTTATTCTACTGAGCCATCTCCCCGGCCCTTCACATTAGTGTTTTGACTTGGATGAGGTTTACAATCAGACTAAAAAGAAGAAGACCTAATCCAAAGACTAGTGAAGAGGTAATCGAGTACATAAAAGGTACTATTGTAGAGTCTGCACCTAACAGTTATGATAAACTTAATGAACTTGATGTAGAATCAAATTGAGGCACACATATGTGAGACAGAAAGAGAGACAGAGAGAGAGAGCGAGAGCGAGAGAGAGAGAGCGCAAAAGACAGAAATACTATTGCTGAGAACCTGGTAGAGACCACCAACCAAATAGGAGATGGGTTCCTAACTGGTCAGAACAATGGCCCAGTCACAAAAGAGAATCAAGAATTATCTGTGATGTTTATCTGAGTAGCAATTCAACATAAGCAAGCTGAATACCCTCAGTTCAGCACTGCTTAGAAGAGCCAGCCTGGATCAACATACTAATAGAAGGAAACTGTCATTTTTATAATAGTAGCAAGAATATAAAGAGTAATCAGCCACACTATCATATCAGATGGCCAGAAAGGAAAAGCATCATTATACTCAGGTCTGTCTTTACAGAGAGGAACACAAACCTATGATGAAATTTCCTTTAGAATGATGCTTAAGGACATTTGAATATCTCTAAGAGGTTTATTTTTTTAACTGACTGTTTTTACTTTTTAAACAAAATTTCCTTTGAAATCATACAAAGAAAGAAGAAAACAGGTATATCGGGAGTTATTTTAGAGATTCTGAGGGCTGGGGATAAAACTCAGCAGCCCAGTGCCTACCTGGCAAGCGCAAGATTCTGAGTTCAACTCCTGGTACCAAAAAACAAAACACAACACCATGATATGATCACAGATGTAGCTAAGACAACAGAGGATGGGATGAAGAGCACATGATTAAAGATGAGTAACAGAAGTGTCAAGTATCAAGGAATAGTTCCAGGAAGCCTGCAATGAGCTCAGCCTTGCAAAAGACAAAGTGTGATGGAAAAACCAAGTAAGAGCTTCTCTGTCAGTGCAAGTAGAAAGACTACCAAGTGATATTGTTCACCCACCCGGGGACGAAGGAAGACAAGGACATGTAATTCTTCAACTTCTGTTATTCTGTCCTCTCTATCAGGGCTGTTACAGGAATTAAGAAAGCAGACTAAATACCAGAGAGTGGGAACTGATAGCCCAGAAGTCTGAAGAGATCTTACGAAGTTCTTTGTGTTCCGCATGAGTTCACATCTTCTAATCTAGTGAGTCATACTCCTGGAAGATGAGAACACTTACTCATGAGAGAGTCATTAGACAGGTATAATTTTGATTTTTGGAAACAAGGAGTGTTGGAAAATAGAGAGCTGAAAGTCTTACTACTTTTCACTAAAAGGCAAAGGAAGATTTTGGCAACAGATTGAAGGCAGCATGGTATCATAGAAAGAGCAAGGATTTTGGAACCCATTTAAATACTAGCTTTACCACTTGTTCTCTTGTGGCCTTAGGCATCTTACCTCTCTCTGGGCTTTAGTTTCCTCTGCTAAAAAATATAGCACACAAAATACATGCCTCACTTGCCCAACACCCTGGGTTCTATACCTAGTACTGGGGGAAGGGGAAGCTGCCTTACAGAGTAACTGGAAGCAATAACACAGGTATCTACCAAATATTTAGCATCAAATGCAAAGAGTATGTAACAGTCCTCCTCTAACAAGCTTGACATAAATCATAGATAAGATTCTAGAATACCCCAAAAGGGCTGGGAAACCCTAGAAGACTAGCTAGGCTTCACCAAGAAGCAACAATACCAGAATCACCATGCATCTTTTTTAATGCAGTTTACCAATCTATCCAGTGGGTAAAAGTAATTAGAAGTTACCTACATCACTACCACTACTACCATTAGTAGTAACATTACTATTACTACTACTACTACTACTACTACTACTACTACTTCTACTACTCTCTTGTTTCTAATCGGTGCTTCGAATTAAACTCTCATAAATAACAGCCAAGCACTACCACCAAGCCATATTGCTGGCCCATGGCTGTCTAGATGATGGAATTGGGGTGACACAACTTTTCCCTTTCCGCACTCCCTACACTCACTGTCTTCATTCTCTACAAGTCAATTTGTAGCTCCAGACTTAGGGGGAATAAAAATCCTTGTGGGAAAAAAACTCACTTGGCATTGATAAAGTGGAAGATTCTAACTCAAGGGAACTTACTCTGTGTGCTTAGGCACAAAGAAGGACACAGCACAAGCCAGGCTCAGCAACAGAGACAGCAGCTGGTGGGAATGGAAGCCCAGCATTGACCCTCACATCTGTGCTGACCCACACTTGCACCCATGCATGTAGCAAGCACTGTTCTCTGGCACGTGGAATTGGCAAATGTGAACAATGTTTGCAAGATATGCAGAAAACTAGGTAATACTGTATTGGTTGGATGTTTTTATATGGAAACTCATAAACAAAATTATAAAACAACAATGGATGCTTCACTTTTTTTTTGTACCAGGAATCAAACTCAGGACTTGGCACTTGCCAGGTATCCTTCACATTTTAAGGCTGACATCTAGAATTTTTTTAAATCACAAATTTAAGTAACTACATAGAATGTATTAACTTCTGGCTGAAATTACACAATGACACCTACAAATAGAACTGTTGCCTCATTCTGTAATCTATTCAGTGAGTCTTAATAGTACAGCTTTTTTTTTTTTTTTGGTGGAACTGGGGATTACCCTTGCCCAGGAAGCACTTATTCTACTGAGCCATTTCCCGGCCCAATAGTACAGCAATTTTGATGGTCACTGTCATCATTTAAAAAAATAAATGAAATAATGCTTCTTATCACAACCGGAAATTTTATATAGGAACTCCTATTTCCTTACAATGTTTCTGACAATAATTATGCTCAAATTTTATACTATATTTTAATATGTAATTCTCCATATCACTATAAGTATGTTAGATTCTTTTATTTCCTGAGACTGTTTCTAAATCTTAAAAATTTTCTACCTTAACACTAGTTACTATTAGTCTAAAATAAGATGTATTAAAATCTTTTTCTTTTGACCAGCACCAGATGTTTCATTCACATAAACAGATGATCACAATAACAATTTGCCACCCCCACGGTCCTAAATCTTGATTATTTGTAATAAGTCTAAATTTGATTATTTGTAATAAGTAGAAATAAGTGTGCTCTGGTGAGGAAAAGAAGCAGGGGCTAAGTAACCCTTTAGCACATGCTAAAAATCCCCAGAGTGAACCCACAACCAAAAATTCTCTCCCATGATCTAGCAATCCACCAATTGTGGTTGGTGATCTACTTATTACACGAAGCAACCACAGAGTAACTACTTGAAAGCTGACCGTACCAGGGGCAGCTGAGGTCACTGTGAACTATTATTTTCACTGGGCTGGGACTAGAGGGTGCGGGGAGGAATGTAGGATTTGAAACATTTTTCTGATTAAAGAGCTATTATCTTGAGGAGGGATTAGAGCTATTCTCTAAAGTCCAAGTAGTCAGTGAGGAAAAGAGATTTACAGTCTTGCCGAGTGGGCAACTCCCAGAGTTAATCAAAAAGTGGAAATATACAACGTGGAAGGTTTGTAGCAATCCCGTGTAATGTGAATAATATAATTTTCTGGCAAAGCTGAGGCTTTAAATGTGCCTTAAGAGTTCTATCTGCAGCTATTTTCAAACACACTGGCAGACTGTCCAGAACTCTGACGTGAGCACATCTGTAGCCAGAACTGGCAGGACATTAACAACTACCAACCCTCAGCATCCCTTGGCCACTGCTTTTAAGGTAACCCCACTGATACAGGAGGTTACATTTCTAGCCCTAGCTGCTCATCATCCTGAAGTCTTTCTCAGTAGCCTCTATTACCCACATCATTGCTCTGCAGTCAGGACTGCCTAGAATCACTTAACATATTTTCAATATAGAATGACCTAGGACTCCAGCAAGCACAATCCCTTTACTTGCAAAGAGGTGTACCTCCTGCAGGACAATTTCCCCTGCACACACACAGTAGGTACACTTCTCCAGAGGACATGCTGCTGCTGCTATGGACCCCATATTAGAGCTCACCTTGCACTGAAAATCAGATCCTTCATATTTCATGCATCCTGAAGCTAATGTGGTTTCTCCTTGGTCATCTTCTTCTATGATGGCAAAGCAATGTCCATTAGTTCTGAGAGGGAATAAAAGAACAATGTGGGCTGGTGAGATGGCTCAGTGGTCTAAAGCACCTACTTAGAACAAGCTTAGCAAAGCACAGGGACCGGGGCCAGGGAGATGGCTCAGTGGAATAAGTGCTTGCCTGGCAAGTGCAAGGGCCTGAGTTCAATCCCTGGTTCTGCAAAAATTAAAACAAAACAAAACAAAATAAAATAAAATAAAATTCCTGGTTCATGTGAAAAAGTTCATTGATAGAGGCACAGATGGATTCAGTGACACAACTTATGTCTAGTTAACTATCTTGTTAGGGCCGGGGAGATGGCTCAGCAGGGTAAGCGCTTGACTGACAAACACAAGAATCTGAGTTCAATCCCCGGTTCCGCAAAAAAAAAAAAAAAAAGTACAAAGACAGCAAAGCACAGGGACCACAGTTCAATCCCCCAGCACCACATGCCAGCCAGCCCCGCCCCCTGGTGGGCTGAGCTGGCCACACAGACACACAAATAAATAAATAAATAAATAAAATAAAATGAACAATGTAATTTCACATCAGAAAGTACTAACAGGAAATAAATGTACATGATCACATATAAACAAGCTACACAATATAAAGGTAGGAAGATTAAAATAGTAATATGTAGCTGGATATGGTAGCGCACACCTGTAATCCCAGCACTCAGGAAGCTGAGGCAGGAAGGTCATTGCAAGTTCAAGGCCAGCCTGGGCTACAAGTGAATTCAAAGCCAGCCTTAACTGCATAGTGAGACCCTGTCTCAAACACACACACACACACACACACACACACACACACACACCCAAAAAAAACAACCACCAAAATAAAAGTTATATAAATCAGATGTGAATTGGAAATTCACAGGAAAAAAAACAACAAAGTTAATCATCACAATGTAATTTTTATGTATCTGTGAACTGTTTCAGCCAATTAAGCAGGAGGCTGTGGGTGAATCTTTTGAGTTTCTTTTTGGTAATTTACTTTAAAATTTTTTTTCTACAATGAGCATCACTAACAATGTAATACATGCATTAAACAAAATGTTAGAAATATACTAGTTTCCTTTAATTTCCTTTAAAAGGCTATATTACAATGTAACTCATAAAATAACCATGAATCACTTCATATTAACAATGTTCCTATATTTGAAGAAAAGCCAAATAGCTCACCATATCGAAGGGTCTGCTTAGGTTTGATGCCCAGTGTGCTGAGCTGGCCCTCCCCCCCACCCCTCCCACCCCCACCCCCGGGTGCACTGAGACAGCGACTGAGTCTGGGTATGGTGACACACACCTGTAATCCCAGCTCTTGGGAGGCTTAACACAGTCTGATCTACATAGTGAGACCCTGTAGACCCTATACTAAATACCCAAAAAGAAAGAAAGGAAAAAAAAAAAAAAGCCTTTGGCTCTTTGGAAAGACACCATATATAATTTTAAAAACTCAGACAATTTTAACAATTCTTAAAGTAGCACTAAGTGCACTCCTCCTAACTCTGATGCACTGCTCCAAATACTTACATGCATGTGTTATTAACAGCATCATCCGGACAGTGTCCTGAGCAATAGCACTTTAAAAAAGGCAAGGTGTCCTCCGGTGCTAAGGTCACTCCGTTCTCTGCCTTCTTAGGGTCAGAGTCCGACTTCACCCCGGTGCCATGGAGCATGCTGTCTAGATTCTGTCCTGTGTCAAACATGTAAGGTATCAATACAGCTTTTCTGGAGAGCTGGTCATTTATGAGTTCCAATGAGGAAAGTTTCTAATTCACTATAGTAACTGAAGCTTATTAACATTTATTAGAAACTCTTACACACAGAATTACTATACCAATTACTCTGCGCTGTACAGAGATGGCTACATCATAAACTTTGCATTAATGAAGACAAAACACACAGTAAACATACAGTGATAACTTTGAGGAAGGCACAAAGTGGAGAGACTTCAAGGAAGGCCAAGATAATTTCCAATCACTAGAAATAGACAATTTATAATTCTTTTCTCTTAACTCTTTAAAAAAAATTTTTTTTAAAGTATTTTCCCACCAATGACCCAGGGCACTCCTGGGGGCACTGTGCTCAAAAGAATAACTGGGAAGGCCAAACAGATAGGAGACACATGCCTGGCTTCCATCATGAATGCTGAACAAGTGTCTCACTCAGTCACACTGGTAAGGAGAAACGTCACGCACCCCACATACTGAACATGGACGGGAGCGCTGCCAAGTGTTTCTGTAGTATGAAAAGTCCTAGAATACTTCTTGAATGTAGGAGATAAAATCCTCAGTTACATCTTGGGGCTTATATTATCTCAGATATTTATTCAACAGAACATTAACTAGGATCTCCTCTGCAATAGCAAAGAACTAAATGCTGAAAGTATAAAGACATGTTATTAAATGATGGACTTAAGAAATTTAGTTAGAAACAAACATTAATGAAATGGTGATAGAATACAAAGGTGTCATGCACATAGAATAAGCCAGTAACTGAAACTTTTGTGGGGTCTTATGATGAGACCTGCACCCTAATGCAGATGCACAGGTTTCATTGGCAGAGGCTGGCTGTGGGAAAGTAGCCAGCCAGAGTCTGGCCAAAGTCCTTCTGGGGACAGAGCCCACAATGCTTTCGCATCACCTTTTTATTGGTGCTTCCTCGACTTACTTCTCTAGCCATGACTTAATCTTGTCTTAAATTGAATGTTTGTCTTGTTTTAAACTTAATCTCACTCAAATCTTCTGACTCACCCTCCAAAATATATCCTCATCTTTCTGTTTTCCTCCAAACCCACTGCTATTCCCTAGGTCCATCTTCTGCTATTTCCACCAACAAATGGTACCTCTGTAGCACCTCCATTCTTTACTGGCCTTGCCCTTTCCAGCTACCACAGCAGCCAGAATTAAATCTGATAATGCAACTCCTTCATTCCATCCTGCAAGGCCAAGCATAACCTGGAGATTGAACACTTGTCCACCTCCACCTTGCAGCATGGCCACCTTGATCTTCAGTACTCCCCAAACATGTCAATCCCTTCCCACCTACAAGTCCTGTGTGTCAGCAAAGTACAACACCATGAGGCTTCCAATGGGCTGGGGATATTCGTCATACTGCAAAACCAAACAAAATTTAAAAGCCTACACGCTCAAGTGTAAATCTCAGGGAAACACAAGAATACATAGATACAGAGAAAGACACTCGACTATATATAGGTACACATATTTAATGGTTCTTTGTTGTCAATGACAGTCTTAGGAATTGATAGTTTCACTAGATTTTTATTCCTGAATTCTTTCTACTTTCCTAGTAATTTACGGGTTTATCCTATGAGGACAAGGAACTCCTCCTTCCCCAATTGTAAATGGAGCATACAAGAGAACTCAGATGTCAAAGGCCAGAGAACTGGAGAGCCTAATGTGAGAGCAGGATCAGTTTTCCCAGTGCATTCTTACACAGCTGCACAGCTGATTAAATAAACAGCAGAAAGACATTAGCAGAAGCAAAGTGGACAGCACAGATGTATGACAAGTGTTAGCTGTGCAGGCCACACAATCTCTATGCAACTCTGCCAACAAAATGCATAATCAGCCAGACAATGTTAAGCAAGTGTGACCATA